GTATTTCAAAATGTATATGAAAACACTACACTGTACCCCATGTTTGCATTAATGTATACAGCTATCATTTAATTTAAAAAAATAATAAAATAAATAAAAAATAAAAAATAAAAAAAATAAAAACGAGGAGGAGTGATGACGGTGGTGGCAATGGGACACCTGGGGCCCTATCTGAAACCTGGAGCCACTACTCAATGCCACTACGTGCTGTGAGATCTCCTGAGAGCCCAGAATCCCAGACTATTCTATGATACTTCTTGGTTTTTCAATGCTGGCTCATATGTTTTTGATTGCCTTGTATTCAAACAAAACATCTGCTGGCCAACAGTTTTATAACTTTTAGTCTAGAATATTAGCAATCTACTTTATTGGACAAAAGAAATCTACAATGTAACTTTGCTGGAATTGTTGACAAGCACGTCGGTTAGTGGGGTGTCTGAACAGCTTTTCTATCAAAAGTCTAGAAGGAGCATCTTGGGCAGAACTGCCTAAAGTACTCTCATGAGAAAACCACCTTTGGGCCAAAACTTTCAGGGCAAATCAAAAACCTAAGAGGGAATATCACAAACATAAACAAGTTCTAAAAAACAGGCTTCTCACTCCCACCAGAGTCCAAATAACCCTTTACCTAAGCTCTGACTCTGCTATTATATAGCTTCCTAGGAAAAAACGTTTATAGAGCTCAGGGAAAAGCGAGAGGACTGAAAACCATGAATCTAGGACAGCAAAATCTTTCTGCTGAATTAGCTCTTCTAAACAGAGTTTATGGCGTTCTTTCTTAACCTATAAAACCAGAAGCCAGGTGCAGTAGCTGACGTCTATAATCCCAGCACTCTGGGAGGCTGAGGTGGGTGGATTGCTTGAGCTTAGCAGTCCAAGACCAGCCTGAGTAAGAGTGAGACCCGCCCCCCCCATCTCCACTAAAAGTAGAAAAACTAGCCAGGTGTTATGGCTGGCGCCTGTAGTCTAGCTACTCCAGAGGCTCAGGTAAGAGGATTGCTGAAGCCCAAGAGTTTGAGGTTGCTGTGAGCTATGATGCCACCGCACTCTACCCAGGGCAACATAGTAAGACTCTCTCTCAAAAATAAAAAATAAAATAAAAATAAAAAGAAAGAAAGAAGAAATATTTTTTTAGTTCCTAACAATGGGGGGGAGTTTAATTATACATATGGGGTTTTTTTGGTTGCAGCCATCATTGTTTGGCGGGCCCGGGCTGGATTTGAACCCGTCACCTTGGGTGTACGTGGCTGGTGCCTTAGCCACTTGAGCCACAGGCACCGAGCCGGGAGTTTAATTATAAAAGAGAAAGTTGATTTAAAATTTTAGAAATTATAAAAGGGACTTCAGAGTTCTAACAAAAGATTTAGAGAATCACAACATTCTTTTTAAATTACAACTAGTTTTATTTCATAATTTGTACTGGCTCTTTCTTTGGTAAAAAGGCACATCCCCAAGCTACTCTTGTACAGTACAGGGTGGGCATAAAGTTTGTGTGCAACTTAAAATAGTGTATGTATGAGAAAGACTTTCTGCCATGGTAATCATCCAAGTCGGGAGTGGGGATACGGGTGGGGAAGTACCCTCTGCTAGCCACTAGGGGACAGCCCAATCCTGGACAAACTCATTACTCTTGCCAATGAGAGACAGGAGGTGGTAAGGAACCACGATTGTAGTTTGTGCCTCAGGCTAGAGTTCTTGGCTTGGGCAATTGTGGGCAACTGCCTCCATATATAGTGTCTTACTTTAAATTACAAGTTTATCTAAATTCTTTAAATTATAAGTTTCTTAAAGAGAGAACAACCTCTACACGCAACCCCTACAGACCCACAATGGACATGCAGCATGACTAAGAAATAAAGCTGTTTTCCTTAGCCTTTGTGATTCCTTGATGTTTGTGATTGTAGCATTATCCAGTAATGTGACTGATGAACTTCTCACAGAACTACGAGCCAAAGGAAGATAGAGAAAGGGAGGACAGAATGGTGCTCAAGCCAAGTGCTGAGTAAGCTAAGATCAAGCAACTGATGCATTTGAGTCAGTGAAGGACTATACAGATGACAGCCAGGAGAACCAGTGTTGTAGAAACCAAGAAGGAGGCTGAGTATGGTGGCTCATGTCTATAATCCTAGCACCCTGGGTGGCTGAGGCAGTGGATTGCTAGAGCTCAGGAGTTCAAGACCAGTCCAAGCAGGAATAAGACCCCATCACTACTAAAAATAGAAGAATTAGATGGGCATCTTCATACATCTTCACAGGCACCTACAGGCCCACCTACTCAGGAGGCGGAGACAAAGAGGATAGCTTGAGCCCAGGAGTTTGAGTTGCTGTGAGTTACAATGACGCCACGGCACTCTACCCAGGGCAACAGAGTAATCACTGTTTCAAAAAAAGAAAGAAAGAAAAGAAAGTAAAAAG